TCCTCCTCCTCCCCTCTCTTCTTCACTCACACGCTCACACACATTCACACACCCGTCATCACCACCACCACCATCATCATCATCATCATCATCATCAGCATCATCATCATCATCATCACCACCACCAGAATCATCATCATCATCATCATCATCATCATCATCATCATCATCATCATCATCATCATCAGCATCAGCATCAGCATCAGCATCATCATCATCATCATCATCATCATCATCATCATCATCATCATCACCATAATCAGCATCATCCGCTTCCTCCTCCTCCTCATCCTCCTCATCCTCATCGTCATCATCAGCAGTATCATCATCATGGCTTATCATTGTTTTTTCGCGGGGATCGGTTCTCTCTACGATACTCGTTGGTCACAGCGACTCGGATCCGAGATAGATCGAGGCGAGGGCTTCGCCTCGCTTCAAGTTCAAATCACACCCTGGAGAAGGAAAAGGGTGTGGGCGAGCCGAAGTGGTTCGAGAAAAAGAGAGGGAGCCAGGATGACGTCAGAATGACACGATGAAGATAAGGATATATGAGACCGACGCCCAAAAACCCGCTAAGCCATCTATGTCCGCGCACCCCCTATGACTTTCTCTTGTTCTTCGCGGGGAGCGGCTCTCTCTACGATAGTCTGCTGGTCAAGCGACGCGGGTCCGAGATAGACCGAGGCGAGGGCTGCGCTTCGCCTCACGGTCAAATCACACCCGAATCATATCCCCCAACAAAGAAGCTGTTCTCACACCGTCAGGTACAGGGCCCCAAAGTAGAGGAAAGAGAAGTATGCACATGCACCGATTCTGGCCAGGCCCATCCTGAGCCCAGGATCGGTGCATACGCCCTCCTGCCTTGGCCAGGAAGGCATATGCACCGATCCTGGGTCAAGGATGGGCCTTGCCAGGATCGGTGCATGTGCATAGTTCTCTTCGCCCGACAAAGGCGGGCAAAACCATGCATCAAGCGGCAGTCTGAAAGCGTCTGGGGACCAGCTCGGATGCGCCAGGCACGGCAACGCGCTTCTTATGGCCGTCGCGGGCCCGAACACCTGGGCAACTTAGGCCAAGGCGGGTGGTGTCAGCAGACACCACATCAATACTATAAGTGGAGACACTGACGCGATCACAGCCACCGTAGCGACACACGTGGGATACGAAAGAATCGAGGCCCAAAGCTGGGAAACGAGCGGCGACCTTATCACTTTTTGCCGAACAACAGTTCAAGGCAGCCGGGGCTCCCAACCGACGGTCGTCTGATATCAGTCGGACAAATCCCGTCGCTATTCGCTCTGAGCTCAAAGAAACAACGGTCGCGCCAACTTTGCCTGCGCACATATCGCACCTCACACGGAACGAAGCAATGTCACTGATATCTTGGTCTGGGATATATCTCATTAGGTACCCTGCCCTCACGACTGCAGTCTGCTGCATGAACAGACTGCCCACGACCGCCGCGAAGAGCCGCCTCTCGTTCACGGAGAGTGAGAAGCGGCCGTTGGCAGCGCCTGGCCGTGCACCAAGATCTCCGCGACTTTCTCCTCGCAGCGCTCGGCGTGGGCACGGAGCCAAACAGGATGAGCCATCCAAGTCGAGCTGAGCCGAGCTCCCATCTCGCGTCGAAATACCGATCGGTCGGCTTTCCGGCCGCCTCGCTTTTTCAAGACTGCCCGTGTCCGCTTGCGGGTCGCCATGTCCGTGCTGGCGCCGCCGTGGCGGGCCTGGTAGACCGCCGGGTTGAAGCCTCGGTCCCGAGAGACCTTCTGCGCCGAAGCCGCCAGCTGGGGGCAGGTGAAGGCCCAGACCTTCACGCCCTTGGGCATCGACTGGATGGCGGACAGCATCGGCGAGAGGCTCTCCCACCAGCTGCGGTCTAGCTCGACGGCGACGTCGAACTCCTTCGCCAACGAGGGGGGGCCCTCGATCTCTGGGCTCAGCTGAACGGCCCGGTAAGCGGCGACGCGGCCGGGGGCATGAAGGCATTCGGGTCGCAAGGTCATCAGCTGGATTGGGCGGGCGCACGCGCCCCTCATCAGGCGCGGGGACAGGGCCATGCCAAATCGGCTCATCGAGCCAGAAGCCGTTGATAACAGCACACGAGGAGGAGGAGGAGGAGGAGGAGGAGGAGGAGGAGGAGGAGGAGGAGGATGGAGGATGGAGGATGGAGGAGGGAAGGGGAGGAGGAGGGGTTGACAGACCGGCCTCTGGCAGCCGCGAGGTCGACAGGCAGAGGTTCTGCCGCCCCTGCAGGGCCCGCCGGCTGCGCCAGACAGTGCGGGGTCCGCTCTTCCACAGCCCTCGGCTGGCGAGCGCGACCCCCGCGAGCAGCTTCATGCCTCGGCATCACCTGCTTCATCTCGGCGAACTCCTTCAACGAGTCGCCCGCGCCATCGAGACTGCCATTGATGCCATTGATGCCAGCCAAGCTCTGCGCACGCTGGTCGGCAGGCACAGACATCGCGGCACCGAGAGGTGGGGGACTGGAAGCTTGGGCCTTCCATGCCTGAAGCTCAGGCAGGGGGGGCGCGGGTGAACGCGCACTCCCCGGGCTAAGGCCCTCGAGCCAGCCCCTTGGTTGCAGTCAAACTATAACCTCGGGGCCAAGGTTACAACTTGAGCCACAATGGCTACGGAAAGAGGAGGAGGAGACGGAAGAGAAGGAGGGGGATGATGATGATGCTGATGATGATGATAGTGGTGCTGATGATGATGAGGACGAAGGGGGCAAACAGAGGCGGAGGCAGGATGATGAGACAATCAAGGAAGAGACAGGAGCGCATTAGGCAAAGTATCATGCGGGGTATCTCCGTCGGAGTAATTACCAACCTTCAGTTGCTCGGTTCTCGTTTTGAACAGATCATTGCTCGCGCGTCTTCTTCTCCTCCCGCCTCCATATCTCTCTGTCTCTCTCTCTCTCTCTCTCTTTCTCCCTCTTCCTCGTTACGTATCTCTCGTTCTCTATGTATCTCTCTTTCTCCCCTTGTCTTGAACCTAGCCGCGTGCCTGCCTCCGACCTCGCCACCCCAGGGCTGCGATCTGCGAAACCGTCGTCACTTTCGAAGGCCGCTGGGGGGCAAACATAATGGGGCCCTATCCAACTTCAGATAAAACCTCAACATTCCCGGGGGGGGCTGCGATCTTCGAGAGTGCCGCCACTTTCGAGCAAGGGCTGCTGAAGGGGGGGGGGCAGCACAGCGGTGCCCTACCCAGATTTCGACTCGATTTCGCCACCCGTGGGGAGGGGGTGGGACCTGCGAACCGATTGCCACTTTCGCAAACTGCCGTGTGTGGGGGGGCCAGCATACTGGGGCCGTACCCTAACTCAGATTCGACCTCGCCATCCCTGTGGGGCTGCGATCCGCGAAACGGTCGCCATTTTCGAAGGCTGCTGGGGGGGCCCAACATAGTTGGGCCCTGCCTGGATTCAGGGTAACCCTCGCAATCCCTGGGGGGTACGATCTGCAACACTTTCGCCATGTTCGAAGGCTGCTGGGGGGAACAGCAGAATTCAGCCCTACCCAAATTCAGTTTCGACCTCGCCATACAACATTTTCGCCACTTTCGAAGGCTGCTGGAGGGCCAGCAGAATTCGGCCCTATCTAAATTCAGACTCGACCTCGCCATCCCTGGGGGAAGGGGGGACGACATTCGAAACTTTCGTTACTCGCAGGCTGCTGGGGGGCAGCATAGTGAAGCCCAACCCACATTCAGATTTGACCTCGCCATCCAATGGGGGGGGCTACGACCTACGAGAGCGTTGTCACTTTCGGGGGCTGCTGGGGGGGGTCATCGTACTGGGGCTCTAACCCGATTCAGACCTCGCCATCCCTGGGGGGTGCTGCGATCTGCGAAGCCGCTGCCACTTTCGAGGGCTGCTGGGGGGGCCAGAATAATGTTGGCCTTACCCAGATTCAGACTCGACCTCGCCATTCGTGGGGGGGTGGCCGCTGGGGGGACAACGTAGTGGGGCCCTACCCAAATTTAGATTAGAGCTCGCCATCCCTGAAGGGGCTGCGATTTGCATAACGATCGCCGCTTTCGAGGGCTGCGGTTTGCGAAACAATCGCCACTTTCAGATTAAACCTCGCCGTCCCTGGGGGGCTGCGATCTGCGAATCCGTCACGACTTTCGGGGGCTGCTGGCGGGCCCAACTTAGTGCGGTGCTCCCTTCGCAAATCAGAACGGGACCTCGCCGCCCGTGGGGGCTGCGATCTGCGAATCTGTCGCAACTGTCGACGGCTGCTGGGGGGCACAATGGAATTAGGTCTGAAGCAAATGCAAATTAGACCTCGCCGTCCCTGGGGGGCTGCGACATGCAAAACCGTCGCCACTTTCCAAGGCTGCTGGGGGCTCTAACATAGTGGGGGTCTTACGCAGATTCAAATTCAACCTCTTTACCCCTGGCGGTGTGCGAATTGCGAAACTGTCGCCACTTTCGAGGGTTGATTGCCGGCATACATCGAAGCATCATCTCTCTCCTTTCTCTGACCGTCTTTTGTCGTCACACTCGTGCTGCTGCCACGTCCTTTTGCTGCTGCCCCGCTTACGTTTCAAACTCCCTGTCCTCCTTCTCCTCTTGGTCCTCGCCCCTCTTTCCTTTCGACCCAGGGAACTAACGATTCACCTCCATCAAGCCTGTGCCCATTGATCGGTGTCCTGCGAGTCGCGCACCTCGGGAGCCTCCCAAATACCGCTCGCAGAAAAAAAACATCCTTGCCACGTTACCAACCGTCCAAAAAACGCCCGAAGACCTCGATCCTCGAACCTCGATCCTTGATCCTGGCTTCGACCCACCCTGAGATCTGGCGTTGCGAAAAATACAACACCGAGACAAATTACGACCGAAGCCCTAGATCCCGATGTTTCTGCCGCATTTCCCGAGCCGAATCGACCTCTGATGGCCCTGGGAACCGCCGCTGGGAGAAAACGCCCCATGTCAAAAAATTGTGACGCCCGGGTTTCCATGTTCTTACAATCTACGGAGCGGCGTGAGCCCTCGGGATCTCCACATCGCCGTCGGCCTCGCCGTCACTGGCCTCGGCCGCCAGCGCCGCCGCGACGGCCCGCGCCGCAACGGCCATGGTAGGCAGAGGGCCCCGCGCCCGTGGCCAGACTCAGGCTCGAAGCGGGCTGGCCACCCCTCACCTCCTAGAAAGACGGGCGTTGCAAATCGTCTACACTGGGCATCTTCGCCCGCTTTCGGGCCCCGGGACCATTACAGATCGATATGGCTCGAAACATGCTGCAGAACGATGGGGTCTAGGGCTCTGGTCGCGATTGTTCGTGATGCTGCATGTTCGCAACGCCAGATCTCAGGGTCTTCGCGTCGCGAACAGATCAATTTCGGCCTCCGATGGGCCCCGCTGAGCCCTTGGACTGTGAACAAAAACCGCTCGGGACGAACAGAACGGCCCTGGGGTCGAGACTCTCGGGTGACCACTCTTGGCGGATTGGCGGCGCGCACACGGGGGTGGGGGGAGGGAGAAGGCTTCTCAGAAGGAGGCTGCTTCTTAGAAGGCGCAGGCCCAGCATCTATAGATAAGGCCAGCCCTTCTAAGCAGGGGTGCTTCTATCGGGGGCGCACAAGCATGGATTGACGATCCATGGATTTGGCGCGCGGTCGCCAAATCCATGGATCGGGGGAGGTGCCCTCCCCAAACTGCGGCCTGTGCCGCCTCGTTCGGCGGCGGAAATCCTCGATTCCCTATGGAAACGGGACCCGTCGCTAATCCACGCCCCTTTGATTCATGTTTGCGATCGCCTGATCTAAGCAGGGGTGTTTCTAAGACGCCTTCCCCCCTCCCCCCATACCTCCCCCATCTGCGCGTGGCCGACACTACGCGAACAGATCACCACGCTTCGGAATCCTGGGGCACAGCAGGGGTGCGAAGGCCAAGTTCTGCCTTCGACCCTCGAGGATCGAGAGGGAGGTTCTCGAACGCGTCTGGTTGGCCTAAGGTCGTTTCCACCCTTTGGGACATTTTTGTCCCCTCGTTCGGCTCTGTTTGGCGAGTTTTCCACAGCAGACGTTGGCAGGAACCACGAATATCCTTTCCTATCGGCCCACGCGTCCTTCAGGATGCTTGGCCATCTTGCTTGCTTGCTTGCTCGTTGCCCTTCTTGTCTCTCATAAAACGGCATCTGGCGTCCCAGGCTCATTTCAGCCCTCTCGGGGGCCTCCTGAAACAATGTTTGGGCCTGTCGAGCCCCTCCTGAGGAGGCACCGCTGGGCCTTCCTGTTGGCTTCTGGCTGGGACAGGGGTCGCCCTCAGACGCCGTCGGCCGAGACGCAGGCAGGAGGCTCCCAGGAGCGTCTCGGCGGTTCCGTACACATGGTGCTTCGTCCAGGCCCGGCTTGACTCCACTGCTCAGCACCCACCTCGTCGGCATCCCTCCTTCTGCTCGGGAAAAGACTCCACCCTAAGAACACTGGGGTTACGGTGGATGTCAACTTTGGACATTGATGTGGAATGAGATCCTGTCAGCCGCACTGCGCGCGGGACGGGAGATCAAACCAGCGGCATGGAGCGACAGGATCAAGGGTCTGCGCCTGACTCGCTTTCTCCTGTGGCGTGCGTCCCTCTCCTCCGTCCCTCCTTCTCGTCGTCGTCCTCCTCCTCCTGCTCCTCCACCTCTTTCTCCTCCACTTTCTCCTCCTCCTCCTGGTCGTCCTTCTACTCCTTCTCATTATTCCTACCCTCCTCCTCTCCTTCGCTTCAACTCTATATCTTCCTCCTCCTCCTCCTCATCATCTCCATCTTTCCCCCTCCTCATGTTCCTTTCCCTCTCCCACCTCCGCCCCTTCCTCCTCCTCGTCATCTCTTCTTCCTCCTCCTCCTCCTCATCGCCATCTCTTCCTCCTCTTGCATCCGCCTCCTCTATTTCTTCTCCTCATGCGTAAGCAACTTCCCCCTGTCGCACCCCGAGGCCAGTTTTTAGGACGGGCCCGGCGTTTCGCCTGAGACTTTCTCATCATTTATGGCCCAGAAGCTTAAAACATGGGCAACCGTTTCATAAATGGAGGGCGCATCGTTTTACCCCTGTGACTCTCGCCTTAGCGCTGCGCACATCCGTTGCGAAACATTGCAAGAGCTTCGCGGAGAGGGCGAATGGTTTTCAAAATGTGGCTCTCGCCTGAACGCCGCGCACATTTTCCAAACATTTGCAAGAGCTTCACAGATTGAGGGTGACTGGTTCTCAGAAGGTGGCTCTCGCCATAGCGCCGCGCATATTCGTTTTAAGCACTTGTAAGAGCTTCACGGCTTGAGGGCGAGTGGTTTTCAAAACGTGGCTCTCGCCTGATCGCCGCGCGCATTCGCTTTAAGCAGTTGCAAGAGCTTCACGGAACGAGGGCGGCTCCTTTTCAAAATGTGGCTCTCGCCTGAACGCCGCGCACATCCGCTCTAACATTCGCAAGAGTTCCAGTGTTCCCCATGGCCAGCGTATCAGAAATGGTGT